TGCCTTACACTAAACCACGGACAAAACAACGGTATCAGCCTGGAGAGTGCCTGACACTAAACCACGGACAAAACAACGGTATCAGCTTGGAGAGTGCCTGACACTAAACCACGGCCAAAACAACGGTATCATCTGCTTGGTGATATACCCAATTAGAGGCCAGGATTAAGTTAAGATATTAAATTTGAGGACCATTTGAATGTGCAGTGCCATACGATACAATAGAGCTGTGATCTAACAGCCTACTTCCTGCTACAGACATTTACCTGTCTCCAACAGTTGGCGATTTGCTGGTGCAGAGCGTACCGACTGAGGACTAGCAGGCCCTCACAGGTGCTGTACAACTGCCTACAAACATGCAGGAAGGCCCCCGTCACGCTGCGCGACGGCTGCCTACTGAGACTGGACGATAACTTGCCGTCCAGGGCCTGCTTGGTGAACTCGGCGATGGCGTGAATCGGTGCGGAACTGAAAAAGGAAGGTCAACCAATACTGAAATCAATTCTACTCCTGAAGCTTGCAGGTTTCTCACGTGTTCGATGAACCGTTCCAACCGTGTGGGTGTTTTTCGACGAGAAAACCTCCTGTCACATTTCAGTTGTTCAACATTCAGTCAAATTAATCCTGTAACTTCTTTACCGGGGCTTTCGTTCTTGTTGGCGCTAGACTTCTGGATCATTAGAGTTCGATGTTGAATGCTTTTGCGATAATCACCAATCACTTCTGATACCAGTTATCACTGTGGCCAATGTCAGCCTCTTTCACCTATTTTCTTTGAAGCAGCTGCCTTTTTCTCCATGCAAGAGGAGCTTCCGTCCGACGTCCCACGATGCCAGGGTAGACAGGACATCGGCGATGTGCAGCATCCGGGCATCACTGCATGCCTGCACAAACAAACCATCGACAAAGGTACTTACAACGGTCTGACTGAATTCACGTTTGTGGGCATTCGCCTGCGGTAAGGAAACACGCGAGACGATCGACCGTGAGGGAAACCCTTGGGGGCGCACTGTATGTTGTACTGCTCCTACTGAGACTGGAATATTCTTGACGACTAACTTGCCCCATTACCTTATTCCGCGTCAGCCACAGCTGGACAGGCCGGAGAAGCTCTGACACGATGGCATCCTTGCACAGACAGCGAGAGCAACTGGACTTGGTGAAGCATAAAAACTTCAGGATGTCCGTCACCAGGGAGGCTAGATCAAAACCGTCTGTGGACGTGATTGGCAGAGGGAAGTGTGAGAACGAAGACATGAGACATGACTGTGATTTTTAGAAACAAACTTTTTTTTTCCTTTCAATTACTCCCTGCCATGCACACTGATACACCCAAATAACTCCTTCATTTTAAGACATCAGCATTTCAACTATATGTTACTTGTGTATGTGTGCACTTCAAGGCCGTTTTCCAATACTCAACTTTGGCTCCGTCTCAGGCTTCAACTGATTTTTACTAGCTGACTTTGAAGTTGTAAGCGCAGTAAGGAGTCTAATAGTGCCACAGAACATCAAATAAGATGTAAGAAAGCCAAAAATTACAGTAATCCGATGTACTTTAAACGCTTCAGGCCCACAATCAGGGACTGGTTTTGGGAACGAAGCCTGAGACAGAGACGACGGCCCAAGAGATGCGTGACAAGAGTTAAGAAAGACAGACGAGTTACTTTAATATAATTAAACAAGATCAGCCTATCAGGATAACACCTCCTCCGCGTGGTTCCAGTCATCACTGAAAATAGTAACACCTTATGGGGAATACCACAAGAGAAATGTTACTTTTCAATCCTGCTGTTTTTAGACGCTCCGTGCAAGTAAACGTCATGTTGGCTTGAGTACCAAAATGATTCACTCTACGAGGAATTGCTGCATAAAGACAAATCATGAAATTTGGTATGAGACTTACTTTGCTCTTGAGATTTCAGAGTTGGTTCCTCTCGTTCCGTGATGATGCGGACAAACGACACCAACAGTTCTGTCACACTGACTGTAATCGAGACAAGAATGAAGACTGTATCACATTACTGACACTATCCTTATCAAGAACAACCAAGCAAGACAACAGCCTTTATCATTAAATGGAAGCACTCCAGCCACACTTTTCCATTCTCGTTGGACATGTTCTTGTAGTTACCTTTAATCCACCACGGGTCAATTTTGTCTGGTGAACAAGATCAAGTTTGCACATTAATTACCAGGTGAAATGGAGCAAAAGTTGATATCTGGTCACCGACCTAGCTTGGACCTTACACCACGTGTATGTAGACATACACGTGGACTGGAAAGCCTACTTCTTAGGTTTACTGAGCCAACCCCGACGTCAGAAGCCGACAGGCACGATGCGACTCAGCGATCTTTCTGTTGTTTCTTACCATCTCCATCCCTGATGTTGATAGGAAACAGCTTGTAGCCGTCGATGTACATGAGCAGACAACCCAGCAAGCTAATGGAGTGATGCAGGTGCAGGTAATTAACTTCTTTCTCTGTGTATCGTGTGCGGTGAGATGAACCTGGCCAACGTCAGAATAAAACAAATCAAGCAAATCAGGATGGACTGTAGTCACTTACTGCTTTGGATGTCAACCTTTTATGCATTTTCAAGGTGTGTTGAGCTGGAATCAAATCCATATTATGCTACTGTGCGCTGTGTGTTCCTAAGAACTTTTTCAACAAGAGGATTTAGTGCAGGATGAAACATTACTGAATGAAAAAGTAGGTAGCACCTAAATGTCTGCACTTTCGACCATATTTGAAAGCTTGCTGGGAAGTTGTTAAACACGGCCTGTGATGACCAAACTTAGAGGATCGCCAGGCTGAAATATCAGCCGTGAAGTCGTTGACAATCCAGGTTTGGACTAAGGCATCCGGGGTTTACTAAGGCAATCGCAACCACTCACCTAGCGAGTGCTTGTCCAACATCTCTGTGACTCGGCCAACCTCTGGGGACTTTTCGTCCCAGCAATCATAGCTCATGCACTGCTGAACACACTTTTCCACCTTGGCACATAAGAAAATGTTTGAACCAATGATAAAGTCATGCCATTCAGAGGGTCTGGTAACTTTAACATACTACACAAGCTCTTGTACACTAGCATACCTCAGTACCAGTCTGCAAAGTTAACTGGGCAAAGGCCGGGTAACTACATGCATAGTAGAGGAGCTTGACTTGACAAGAAGTTTATACGACTTACCAGGCTTTGATTTCTTTCAAGTTGCCTGATGACAGCTGTACGCCCATAGTTGCCGTGCTTTAAAAGTAAACAGAATAGAGTCAGCAAATAACTCTTTATTTCCGACGGGAGAGGGAAAAAATTGGTACCCTACACAATAATCCTGACTGGAAGACAAGAAATTTCTCTGCTAGTTGAAATAATGCAGATTCTGGAATATTCAAAAGTATGACTAATTCTGCATGCCTGCAAACCGTTTCCCCAGTGTGACCTCTGTGAACTTTCCATTTTGTCAACATTTCTTTAAACCCTAAAAGAGCCCCATAATTGTCGTCCATCTCACAGCCAGTATGTTCAATTTTCACAAAACTGGCGTCAAAATGACTACCAAAGTTACTGAAGAAACTCCGAACGGCTCGGCTTGTGAAAAAATGTACTATGGTGATATCGAAAAAATGTTGAAGGGGAATCCCCTAGCCTCTTTTAGGGTTAATCTTTCAAGGCCATACTTTATAAATTCTTTCAAACTTGTCAAATGTTTTGATACCGTTGAGTTTAAATTATCTCCGTACTATGTACCGAACTTTGAGTTACTTTTTCACTCATCCTTAAGTCCTTCAACCCTTGAGCCAGAGGGTCGTGAAGAAAGCCTAGATGCATGGGAATAGTTTCATGCAACACAGAACGTGAAAAGTGAAGGGGCAAAATGCTGACACAGATCTTAAACTTGCAAGTACTTCAACTGTCTCTGCCAACCGTGTGCTACGTGAAACTTCATGGGCAGAAGTAAGGATGCACAGCTAACTTGAAGGGTTTCAACAAAAGCTGGGGGCGTCAACCGAGGGGAACATCTCACCATCCACTTCCTGAACCAGCTGGCTCTAGGGTCCACGAGGGCCATGCAGTGGAGCGGGGTGAGCTGTTGGGATGAGGAGCTGCGGGAACCCTGGGGCTCCGTCACCAGGAGATTCATGGTGGACTCGGTGACGTCATCCAGAAACCTGCGACAGAGTCGGCATCATTGTTACCTCTGCGAGAGAACTGTTGAGCACGCTGTGTAGCATTCTCATGGGAGACAAGCCAGGCCATGTGTATGCAGGCACACAGGTTTTCAGGCATCAGATTCATGCCCTGCATGAGAATACTGCAAAGTGCACGTGGCAACTTTTCTGTGGAATGTGCACAAAATCCCTAGCATGCAAAAGATGCAACCATTTTGTTTTTTGGGGGTTTTGTCCTTTTGTTTTTGCCCGACTACCTTCTGCAGTGCATCTCTGTTCAGTATACAACCCGCAGCAGCTTTGGGTCCGCAACTACTATGCTCTTACGATAGTTAACAGTTAAATGTTGTCATTTACAAGGAATCTGTCGACAGAAACACTTCGATGTTTGACACTGAGACTGTTTATTATACAGAGACAACTGTCTGCTTCATACGACTCAAAATGTTGCCGCCTGGACTAGGTTATGTAACACCACATTGCATACCTGTGAAAAAAGGTTTTAGCCCCTGAACACCTGTGACAAACTATTTCCACGACGGAATCCTCAGTTAATTGAACAGATTGGTATCTGTTAAGTATAGAATGCTTTCATATCAAAGACACTCTTACCTGTCAGGAAATCTCACCCAGTAGGTTGGAATCTCCAAATTGAATTCATTCATCAAGCGGAACTATGGGTGAATAATGAAGATGAGAAAGGTACCCTCATTAATGATTTAATTTTTTTAATGAAGAGCAAATCAAATTCTGCTTCAATGAAAACAGGCCAGGCATGTTGTCTAACATGCACAGTGAACCAAGTCAGTGTTTCAACTGTTACGAGGCAAGCTAATTTGGGATTAAAACACCAGACCTCAGCCCGAGTTTTTTCAGTGCTTAGCAGCACAGATGTGGACAATCTCAGTCACATACAAATTATCCCAAATGACCTATGACACGTTTCGTTTTAAGCAAGCCAGGTTCAAAATACGAAACAGGCTGACACTGACCTTCCTGAGTAGCATGCTGGTGGCGTGGTGTGCCGTGTCAACTCCACTGCGTAGCGGCGACATCTTGGCACCGTGATCGGCAAACACTGCCGTGAGATGCTCCACTATCAGATGGACAATATGTATTAAGAGGCATCATTTTGAATGGGTGTATATTCTCCACCTTGGGAAATTCTTAATGGAAATCTCAACTACGTTAAGCTGTGCTCAGACTGACTGGCTGTGGCTAGCAGTATCACATGTGCCTATGAGAAGTGGCTGCCATGGCCAGCCAGTGGCTCAGGCAGTGGCACCCATAGGCACAGGTGCCTTTCCAGCCACAGCCACAACGACTGGAAATGGCCTCGCTTGGTCTCACTCAAGGCCATGTGCGGGAACTGTAGAGATTACTCTCTGCCCGTATCACATATCCACAAGCCTATTACTGATTAAAAATTGATACATTACTTGACCTTTTTTCACATCAACATAGAAAACTAATACCGTAACGGCTCCAACAAAAGGGGGGGAGGGGGCGAGGGTACCAGACAGCACCAATATGTTTTCAGGAGGGCATCGAGTCAAGTAATATTGCTTGCCAGAAAGAAAATCTCAGCTGAAACGCGGCATCTGCTGTCCAAACACAAGTGGTCTTTTTTTGACACTTGACCTAATAAATACTCCTTTGACGATGGCTTGGGACTCAGACTGCATACCTAGGCTGGTGTAGACCTCTCTCATGACATGGTGTGAGTTGGACGAAAACATTCGGGCGTGAAAGCGAAGACTGGTCTCCTGCAAGGAGGGAATATCAACCGGCAATTCTCAACAAACTTTGATTCGATTGTCATCATCCACTTTTCACGAAAGTGAACAAGAAATGCTACAACCTGCACAGTATTAAGTAACAAACCGATTGCGCCCCCTAAGTCTCGTGACCTACAGTGAGCATTAAATATCAACAAACACGGCGTCCACCAAAAGCAAAGTGTTTTATAAGGATCATTTACCAAAAGTAAAGCCGACGGTAGGTACCGTACTCTGACTACTGATGTACTGGATACTATATCGTAACTTGGCTGTACGGTTTGTAAACAAGACTCAAAACACACGTTGCTATGGGGTTGATACTCACTACAGGTCATGTAATTTAGCAGGCGCAATCAGTTTATATGAATCAGTGCCAAAGAAAAATTAGACAAGCAAGATCACATTATAGTTCATCAACTGACATCAACTGATTATCATATGCCTCCTGCCTCCTGCTTCAAATCAGAAACCTTGAACCCGGCATTTATTGAAGGGACAAGTTGTGATGAAGTGAGTCTATTAAGGTACAGCGAGAAGGACCAATTTCAAGAAGAGCAGTGTTAAGACCTCAACATTGGTTGACTAGGGCACACCCCATCTCTACAATCAAACCGATTCATCTCCGGCCCAGCAACACCACACCACAGCCCCTAGAAGTGTCTGTGTCTTACAGCCAAGATGTCGTCTGAATCAGACAGAGCAGTCAGCAGCACGGGGCGGAGACTATCCCACTGCTCACAGGCTAGGATGTCTGAAGGTGGCAGCTTACACAAGCCCTGGAGAGTCTCAATTCTCATCTAAAACAAACACAACAATCACACAATCAATTGTTAACCACACTTGCTAACTAAACTCATTTATTTGGTGTTGTAATTAATCACAGTGGGCTGAACATTTCTCATCTGGCTTTTTCCTGTTTTTATTCCATACTTGCTTCTTGTCCGACTTCTCTTGTAAAGCAATTCGAGGCCCTGGCATACGGTACTATATTTTGTGACATCGTTTTGAACCAGGAAGTGTAGTGCAAATGAATTGAGTACACGCGTGTTGGTTCATGCGCTGGTTCTCTCACTAATGCCTTTTACACACATAATTGAGCACGTGACTTTAGCAGAAAAGTTTTGCTAACCTTAAGCACTATTTCGTGGCGGTACTCGGCGTGGTTGTGCTAACGGTTGGGCGCACAGAGAGATTTCTACTGTTACGTAACTAAGTTTAAGCAAATCTTTCCCCTGCGGTTAGCATGCCTTTGGCTGTGCTTACAGCTTTGGGTCTCCACGAAATACGTGGAGCCTCTGTAAGCGTGAAATCCTGTGGTGAGCAACGCCGTGAAATTGGGCCCAGCTTGTGGAATACCTTGACAACTGTGACGAGGTTGGAGAATTGTTTCTTTGAAAAAATTTACAACTAAAAACACATGTAATGATTGCTTTTCTGACGTAGGATAGCTGTACTTACATACCTCAAGAGGTTTGTCCAGGGCCAAGTTGTCAGCTATAGAGGCAAAGTGTTCCTGATTCATAAACGTGAATGATCCCTAAAGGACAAATGACAAACCGAAATTAGCGAGCCATGTTTTATGTAATACAGACGATCCACAGACCATTCCGGGAGAGAGCAGTTTTGGTCGCCAAGGGTCGCAGTTCACATTAAACTAGTCAAAGGTCATATTAATTGGTTTAAATTCCAATATCCAGACCTTTCTTGGTACCATGTGTCCATCTTTGACCAATAACTCAATGTTTGTGGAAGGCAAAAAGTAAAAGCTCACACGGAGCCGATCACGACTGTATTCAACCTTTGCTGAGCATGATCAATCTGCCCTACTTTAATAACACCGTACATGCATTAATTTGCAATTTCCTTTGCAAATGTTGACATGAATCTACAACATGCCATAAAAAAATGGGAATGGCATTGATGGTTGGTTGAGGTTTGATGCATGTGCTTGAAAGGGGGGATGAATTTGATTAGACAAGAATATGTGCAATTAATGAAACGTGCAGGAAGCAATTGGAATCCTGAGTGAATTGCGTGAATCCCAATGTCACATGTAAAAATCTATGCTAAGAATTTCAACGGAACAGTAAGAGGTCGATTGCATTTCAAATCCAATAAACTTTCACTGTGAGTATCCACATTTATGCCCTGGCACAATGCAACCTTTTTAAAACCTCCGACAGAGTTTTTCAGAAGTGCACTGTCTCCTTACACTGGCAAAGTGTACATGTCTTTGGTGGCTTTTACTCGCCCCAGTCTAAGACAATACGGCCCACGCCTCCAGACTGGAGCTCTGATTCTTCTCACCTGATTGAAAGAGGAATCCAGTGAGGAGGTGTCATCGCTCAGGCTGAAGCTGTTCCTCTTGGGGCTGTGCATCCCCAACACCTGTCCATACATGCCGGGGATGTTGCCAAACATGCTGCTCTGTACAGGCCGGTGCTCCTCGTCAAATATCCGCACCAGCCGCTCTACGGCGTCTTTAGTAGAAAGCTTCAGGGAGTTCATCAGGTCTAGTGAGCTATGAGAGATGAAAATCAAGTCATTCAAACATGCAGAAAACCTGTTTCAATTTCACTGTACCATGGCAAATACTAACGCTGTAATATCAATTATACATAGAAATCGATGGAATTGACTCTCCTTTTGCTGTACTGTCCTTATCAATTATCTTTACTGTTTACATTGCAGACTTGACCCTTATTCATGCTTCCATGATGATTCAACTCCAGGCTTATTCCACAATTAAGGATTTCAACATTAAAATCTGATTTTTGAATATACATTACTACGCTCAATGGGTGGCGAGTAAACAGTCCTTTCTAGTTGGACTTGTGCCAGACTCGGGCTGAATTGACTCATAAGGCACGAGTCCAAGTCTGAGTCCCCGAACAATTGATCTGCTGAGGACTAATCTCAAGTGTGGAGTCCTAATTGAGTCATGAGGCCCAAACCTGAGTTGAAGAGAAAAAGCCAAGTCTGAGTCCAGATCTCGACATGAGTCCTACCACACTAGAATGAGTATTACAAATGACTTACGCCTGGTCATTGATGACGTGATCCGTGATCATTCTCACCATGGCCTCCTCCCCACCCTTGCTCTGCACATCCAGGGATCGCCGCTCAATCTCTCCCTCAATCAAAGGTCCCAGTACCTCCTCAATACGACCACGGATGTACTTCACTAGTTCATACCTATGACCACAAACCAAGGATAAGACTTACTGCATTCTGTACAATTTATGTTACAGAAGGGGAAAATTCCTTGAAAGTCATCAAAATTGGACAAAATTAACCATTTAGGGAAACAGAATTCAGAAAGATTCCAGCCCTTGATTTTCTCACATACATGTAGATAAGAGCGGGCATGTGACCACAGTAATGACTTCTAGATCTGGTTGCTGAATTACATTTTAAATGGAACACCATCTTCCCTGAATGACATCACAGAAACACCTCTGTTGTCCCAGAAAAGCTTGGATGATTTTTAAATGTTTTTACAATGAGCTCTTTTCAACATACTTAACCCTAGTGTCAAAGTGTGTGACAAACATTCATCACCCATCCCATTACAAAAGGTCTGAGATTATTCTCTGTGGGCTAGTTTACCTGTGAAAGTTGTCATCAGTCTCTTCCAAGTGCGTGACCATTTCCAGGGCAGTAGCCAGTGATCCTGCAGCTCTAAGGGTTGGTTTGATGCTGCTGATCAGCTGTCGTATGCTAGGCAGAAGGTCTTCATCACTCCCAAGTGGGTCTGCCATTTTGGGGTGGGGGGCTGGCAAAAAGAGGGAACGATGTCAGCAACAAATAGCACATGTAGCAGGTGCACCGTACTTACAAAAACATTCAAAAAACAAATTGGTACCCTGAGTCTCGATACTGTGCGGGAATGGTCCAAAATCTTGATGTTGGCTGGTTACATTCGAGCTAGAAAATTGACCCGACATAACTCAAGTCCAACACATCTTTAATAAGCCTGCACTGCACAAAAAAGAAACAATATCATACTGACAGTCCGTATTTGTATAAATATGAAGCATGAAATGACTGATGGAAATGAGAAACAGAAAAGCAACATCTATCAAATTATAAACGTACATGTAGTGCTTGTGTGCAAACTTTGCTCTAAAAATTGGTGTTTCTCAAGATATACACATTTTTCTCTGCAGTGGATTTCCACTAGTGGAAGAATCCAACAAACGGTCATCACTTAATGTTTCCCTGGGACCGAGTTGATTTGAGACCGAGTTGACCTGGGACCGAGTTGACTTGAGACCGAGTTGACCTGGGACTGCATTGACTTGAATTCGTTATGACCCCATGTAAACAACAATGGCTTCAAGTCACACAGAGTACGCTTTTCTTCAAGTAGGCCCTAAACCTAACGTTTAGCCTACGCCTACTAATTGGTTAGTCCATCAGTCCATCAACTGGTCAACACAGTCTTAAGCCTTATCACTAACACAGCAAGAGTGATTTTGCAAAGTAGAAGAAAGGCACTGTGGGAAGGAAAAAGGGGCAATGTTGGCCCTTTTTTGCTTCCCACAATGCCTTTCCACTATTGTACAAAATCAGCTAAGCAGTATTAGCAATGTTACGCCCCAACTATAGCATCAGTCCCAACTATAGTTGGGACCAGCCCAACTACAGCACAGAATGTTAGTCCCTAGTTGAGCTGAGGTGTAACACCCATAATTCCATAAGGCTTGTGACACTCATGGCAGTTACACTTTTGATTGCCAGGGCAAATATGCAGAATTTAGGAGGGAAAAAACCAAGTCATTTACTTAGACTTTACCCCCAGAACTGTGGGGTCCAACGTCGGACCCCACAGTTCTGGGGGTACACAGGCTTTTGTATCGAGTCATGAACTGTAACGTAATTTAGGCCTTAAAAAAGTTAATAGAATTATTGTCACCCGACATTGTCCAGGACGACTGTGTGCGGCTGTTCTTTCTGGTTCTTCTGGTACCACCAGATTTGTTGGATTTTTCTTAAAAGTGTAGGCCTATGAAATATTGCTCTTGGAACAAATGTGTGTGAAAATGGAAGTGGTGACAGAAAACGACCCCCTTAAAATTATCATTTATCTGTAAATTTTGCCATAGGCCATCGTTAACAGAAGAAGCTATTGACATAGGCCTAGTAATATTATAGTCGTCATTTGAAATGCTTGGTGAATTCCTGAAAAATCCAGCAAGTGTCGGACCCTAGTATGGGCTCAGCACAAGATGGAAAAAAGTGAAATACCGGTATGCGGGGATAAAATATGCAAACCAACAACACGCGTCAAAGATCCCAGGCCTAGTCCACCAGCATCGTAAACACTCAGATTCGACGTAGTTGTCAACACAACAACGTACACGCGTTCATATCATTTCATACGGCCGGAACAACAACGATAACACAACTTCGTCTCCAATACCACCATAGCCTAGGATACCAATCCGACATAAATCCTGGGAACAAGCTTGTCAAGTCATTACTTACTTGGCCTAAAAGCTATTTACACATCCAAGCTCAATAGTAAGATGGCCGGTGCATAGCACCTCATCGAGACAAAATTAATCAGGGTGAAAAAGTATTCCAAAATAAAAGGAATAGGGTACCGTCCTACTATGGAGTTATTTAGCACAAGGAGTAAGCACGTACAGAGATCAAAAGGTTCAACGGGCCTTTTCACTGATAAATTCATAATTATGCACGCATGCGCACATATGGCCTCGCCTTGGCAGCAAGGGCAGTAGAGCCTGCCGACCCCTGACGGCGTGCTTCCGGAACCCTTGGATAGGAAAAGTAATGTGCAAAGATTTTAGAATTTGTGATATTTTTTCGTTCAGTTACTTCTTAAAAATCCAACTCGGAAAAAGGGCTTTAGAAAATATTTGCTGGTATATCAATTTATAGAAACTGAAAATCACCTGACCTAAAACAGAAATATTCTGCCAAAAATTGACCCTTCACTTCCGAAAATCTAAAATACATGAAGAACAGTGCAATTCGCCAGTCTCATACACAGTTGAATATTTACGGTTTGAAATTTTATGGTAGTCCGTCAGTAAAAACCGAAATAAAAACAGATCAAAATATTTTAAATACTCTTATAAATTATAAGTAGTAAACCTAAAGCAATTACGAAAGATTCTAATCTTTTATCTAACCTTTGCTGACAACAACTGCATGATGTCAACTCAACGGAATCTGGAACCCATCAAGTGCAAGTACACTGTAGGTAAATCTTTGCAACGATGTACAATCTCGTTTTCACGTAATCACGGGCAATGAAAACAAACGTGCATGAAGCATGGAGACCTAGGTACGATATCGCCGGAAGTGAAAGGTCAAGAAATTTTTTTTTAAATATCTCAATGTAACTTCTCCTAAATATTACTTAAGGAAGACAACGGTAAAATTCCAACATGAGTGTTTCATGGGGTGGTTTCAGTTAGGAATTATTCTTCCAAAAAATTATCGAACGTGATAGGACGACCCAATGTAAAGTCCCCATAGGCAGACCGCCAAGGATTCCGGAAGCTGGCTGCGTGACCTTTTACTTTCAGGCTCTATTGAAAATGTACAGGGGTGCGATTTTCAGTGATCATTTTCTCTCAAGTTTTCTGGCTTGGTTCAGTTTTTTCCTCAGAAAAATCCCATTAAATAGTTTTTGCTCTTAGTTACATAATCTACGCGGAATTTTTCCGCTTAATCTTGTGCACACAGAAAAAAATCACGATTGTAAAGTCGAAAAAAACTATATGGAGGATCCAGCCATACTGATCAGTCGGCTCAAACTGTTAATGTTCTGACAAGAGGCAAAATTCAAATCGAGAAGCTCCTTAAAAACTGAAACTTTATTCCAGGCCTCAAAACTGCACAAAGTTGTGACTGACCCGGCCGGTTAACCCTGAAATCCGGTCAATTCAAAAGCGGACGATACGAAGCAGTGCAGAAAATTCAAAGCCGCTTTGTTCATGCGTCAACTGCAATATCCTAGCCGATGAGCTCCTCAGAGCACGTAGCCTTGATGCAGCGAAATTTTGTTCGCAGTCTCGTTGATGTCAAAGCTATTCTCGGCCATGGTCATTCCTTGTTGAATTTGCGTCGGCGGGATGCAATTTGACCTGATCTTGGTCCAACTAAGGCTGCGTCCGAATCTGTTGTCTAAAGCTAGGTCTAGGTTTTTACTCCATTGGAAATACGCGGAGACGAGCAGACAGAAGACCTGACCGTAGCTCTGGAAGCCCGTTTTGGACACGGCCTTATACTCCACTGTGCTCTTCACAAGTTCCGCACACAAGCCTTTCGTTTGGGTATGATCCTGCTAACGCATGCAAAACTATTCAGGATTCGAATAAAATTGGATATAAAGTACAGATGTAAGCAGACAATGCATCCAAACGCAGAAAATAGCAGCTATTCTTCCACATATGCAGCAAAGTATGAGGCGGAGAGAACCCCCCCTGCTTTGTGTTGGCCATTGTCTCGCAGGAATCTGGGGAATTCCTTTCAGACATCTTGGGGGAGATGTGTTAAGTAACAATAGTCTGGAATGTGTATAGGGATTGGACAGGTTGGGGGGGGTACCCCTCGGTTTCATTTCTTGCTGGGTTTATCTTGCTGGGCAGAGGGTAAAATAGCCGCTGATTGAAGGCACCCTATCAACGTGGAGGTCGGGACCGTGGTCGCGACCATATCGCACAGCTAGCTCCGTACGTACCCCCAACCGGCTCAAGTAAAGTCGAC